GCGGCAGGCACGCAGGCAGGCGGCGAGCGCCCGACCCTAATTCTCAAGCCTAGCCTGGCCTGGCCTGCTGCGCGCCTGCCTGCCTACCTGCCTCTCTCTCTTGCTTGCTGCCACTTGGCCGCCGAGCCACGTCTCAGAGGCCGGCATGTGCCTGCCGCTCTCGCTCGTTCGCTCATCTTCGCAACCCCCTCACCCCCTCACCCCCTCACCACCACCAACCGCGCGCCCGCTCGCTCGCGACCGCCGTCACCACCGCCTCGCCGCTACCGCGTCCGTCGCGTTTCGTGTGCGTCACACCTCTGGAGGGGAGCGGAGCCCTCTGCGTCGTCAAACCCGCCATGCCACCATCACCCTGCCTCGCTCTATCACCATCGCTGCTACCACTATCTCCGAACCGCTGCCATCCCCTCGACGCTCCTTGAACCAGGACACCACCCATCCTCGATCCCTCCCTGCTCGCTTCCGCTGCCCGATCCTCCCTCCAGCCCGTCAACTCGTACACTCGGCGTGCTGCTTGCGACTCACACAGCACCACTATCGACGAGGAGGCTGTGGACGACGACGACGACGCCCGGGCTGCTCCGCGTAATTGCTGCATACACCCATCATTTTACCAGCACAGGTTCGCTGCTGGCATCATCTCCGTGACCCTAGCCGTCGCCCGCCTCGAAGGTGATGCAACGTCGGCCGCCGTAGGAGTCGCAGCCGCCGCCGCCGCCGCCATCGTCGCCGATCGCCATCACCTGGTCCTGGGACGATGTCGTCGCTCCTGTCGCCCTTCAACTTCGGGCAGAAGCACGCATACTTCCACGTCAACGTCACCATCCACGAGCTCACCAACGTACCGTTGGTCGCAGGCCACTTTTCCTGCAAGTGGGCCGTCCGGGGCCACCACTCGCTCGCTGCGCTCCAGCATTCGGCCACTGCGGCGGCACAGCAGCACGGCCACATCCTCCATCCCTCGTCGCAGCAGCAGCAGCAGCCGCACCCTTCTCACCCTCAGTCCAGCTCCGGTAGCGCCATCGATGCGGACAAGTCGAGCAGCAGCCTCCCGAGGCAGAGCTCCGACTCTCCCGACCTGCCGTCCGCCTCGTCGTCGCGCACCAGCTTCGGGCAGCACAGTCACCTGGCAAGGTCTCAGAGATCCCCGACCGAGGTGACCGTCACCGAGGCCCCGGAAGACACCGCCGGCCGCGACGGCCCTGCGGCGTCCGGCCACACCTCGTCCGCCCGCTCCCTTCGTCACAGCTCCTCGAGAGCCACGATAGGCTCCACCGTCTCGTCGCTCCGGCCCGCCTCGGCCGCTGGGGACTCGACGTACCCACGCACTCCCGAGCCCCACCGCGTCAATTTCTTCACCGATGTCGTCGACAGGATCAAGGCTCGTCACGGCGCTCGCGACGTGAACAATGACGAGGACGATGCCGGGGAAGGGGAGGACGCCGATGATATCGAAAACAGCGGGACGCTCTCGTCCGCTGCGGGCTCCTCGTCCAGGGTCACGCTCGATGTCTCGAACGGCCGCGACGACGCTTCCATCGCTGGCGCCGAGGGGATCTCCGCGCCCCGTCTCGCGCGGCGGGGCAGCGGGGCGAGTCGCCGCACCACGGCCTCGACCAAGACGTCGGCCTCGAAAGGGTCAAGGAAGGCCGCCTCCATCCACGCCGACGGTCAGCAGCCCGCCCTGGATCCGTTCCTCTTCTTTCGCCAGCAGCCCAAGGGCGAGACCGATTACCGGCCGGTGCGCGACAACGCCGTCAAGTGGAACACGTCGCTCCAGGTCGGCGTCAAGGTGCCCATCGACCGGTCCAAGCCAGCTAGCACCCACCCGAGCGGCTCCTCGACTCCCAGCCACTACAGCCGCGACGCGTCCACCGCCGACAGGGGCTCGCGCGGCAGCAGGCGGGACGGACATGGACAGGGCCAGGACGTCAAGGCCGCGTGGGGAAGCCTGCTCTCGTCGGAGCTCAAGATTACCATTCGGCAGGACCTTCCCTCTTCTTCGAGGAGCGACGAGATTCCTACCAAGATGGGCCACGTCACCCTGAACCTTGCCGAGTATGCACCAGACCCGCCCGCGGCGAGCCCCACGGGACCCAGCCGCGACCCTCATCACCACCACCACCACCATCACCACCACCATCACCATCATCACCACCATCACCACCATCAGTCGCACTCGAACTCGCCGGCACGGACGAGCCGCAGCGAGACCCGCCGCTATCTGCTCAACGAGAGCAAGACCAACGCGACACTCAAGGTCACGGTCGAGATGACGTACGTTGGCGGCGCTCGCGAGTACGCCGTCCCCTCGCTCTCCAAGGGCCTGATGGCCGGTGGCGTCTCGCAGATGATGGATGGCCTCACTGGCGTGCTCGACTGGTACAACCGCCGCAACCAGGCGCACGGTCCCAGCAGCTCCGTCGCTCGCGACTCCCGGAGAAGCAGCAGCTCGGATAGCAGCAGCCTCCGCAACGACGTCTCCTCGACGTCGGCCGCTGGCGCCATGACCAATTCGCTGAGCCTGGCGCCCGGCAGTGCCAACCAGCGTGGCTTCCCGGGCAGCAAGGTGCCGAGCGGCAGCAGCCTCTCGCTGCCGCAGCAGATCTCCTCGGCCGCCACCTACCTCAGCCCGGCGCTCCAGAACGCCAACAAGCGCAAGGTGCCGAACCGGATCCCGTCGCGCAGCCTCATGGACTCGACGACGGCCGCAGGCGCCGCTACATCCTCGTCGACTGCATCACAGCCTTCCGGCCGCTCCCATCGCGGCGGCGGCGGCGGCAGCGCGGCCCAAGCGAACACCGCCAACTCCTTTTCCTTCTCCAGCAGCGCCCACTACCAGCACGACAAGCCGCCCGAGGACGTTGTCAACGCCATCTTCAGCGGGGTCGGCAGCAGGAACCGGAGCGGCAGCAGCAGCCAGCGGCAGACCCAAGCGCGGAATCCGGCCGACCAGCAGCAGTCCGCCCTCGATCAGCTCCTCTCGGCCACCGTCACGCGGTCGGATCGGGTTCCAAGGAGCGGACCCTCCTCGGCGCCACCGACATCCCAGGGCGGCATGGGCGGCGTCGGCCTCGGCGCTCGTCCGGAGCTGCGGTCGAGGAAGGTCAGCACGGCCAGCAACATCTCGAACAGGTCCAAGCGGTCGGAGCGCTCCTTCCTCTTCGGAGGCGGCGGCAGCGGCAAGGGGGCGGACAAGGACAAGGACAAAGCCAAGGCGAACAAGAAGGCGGCCAGGGAAGGCGGCGATGACGCGAGCCCGACCGCGTCGCTCAAGGCGCTGCCACCAGGCGGAGCCGCCGAACGAGGCGACGGCGGGTCGTCTGCATCCGCCAGTGTCGTCGCCTTCGACATGGCCACGGGCAGCAGTGGCGTCGTCTCCTCGTCGGCAGGCGACGCGAGCGTCGACGCTGATGGTGGCTCAAACGGGCTGCGCCCGCCAGCGGCTGGCAAGAGACAGCCGAGCATCCGCTGGGACATCGACCGCAGCAGTGGCGACCCAGACGTCGGCCAAGGCGGCTCGGCCGAGGCCGGCGGCGACGACAGCTCTGGGAAACCACCAGCGTCGGATCGCGACCTGCTGAAGCCTCCGTCTGTCGTCATCGGACACGCCTACGTGCCCATCCGAGCGGGCGGGATCCAGGCAGCGTCGCGCTCGGATCTCGACCTCGACCACGTGTCGTCCATCGAGAGCCTGGCGGCGGACCCGACTCGGCGATCAGGCGCCACCAAGCCCGGGGCGGAAGGGCAGCTACCAACGCCACCCTCGGCTCCGACCTCGCTACCGCCATCGCTGACCTCGGGTTCTGCGACGCCTTTCGAGGTCAGCGACGGCAACCTCGCCATGGGCCTCGGGCTGAGGCTTGAAGGTGAGCCGCTGCGGGCCCGTCCGCGGCTGGCGTCCCACCACTCGGAGAGCAACGTGTCGATGCTGCGGGCAGGCTCGGGGCTGTCGCGGTTCGATGTCCTGGCAGATGACCAGGGTCTGCCCTCGACATCCCCGTCGTCGTCGTCGTCGTCGCCGGTCACCGCTGCTGCCCTCGCGGCCGAGCAAGCGGCCAGACCGCCGCTGCCGGCCGGCCTCGCTGCGCCCGCCCCGCAACACGACCGCAACCGCAAGACGAGCGCTAGCGATCTGCGGTCGACGTACCGCACCCAGCTACCGTTCGCCTCGGGCCTGGGCTCGGGCGCCGTCGTCGGCCTCGAACGCATCCGCAAGACGTCGAGGGCGATGGGCGAGTACGCCAAGGACAAGTTCAACAACCACCTCGCCATGGTCCGCTCCCACACCTCGGGCCACGGCGGCAGCAGCGGTGCCGGGAGTCGGAGGGACGCGGCGCTCAAGGAGGGCGGCGGGGCCGTGTCGGGCGGCGGTCGCAAGGTGTCCAAGGGCGTGCTCGGCGTCGAGCCCAACGAGGCCGTGTCGCGCGGCTGGAAGGGCGCCGGCTGGCGCATCGCCCTCGAGCCCGAGATCATCAACCCCTTTGTCCAGCGGCAGCAGGAGCAGCCCGCCACGCTCTCGAGGCCGGCTCACCTCCATGCGCGGCAGAACTCGGACATCTCCGTCTACTACGACGTCGACGACGACGAGACGCTCCTCGAGGATGACACCGACGGCGGCGATGATGGGCGTGCGACCGGACCGGGCGCTGCGACAGCGGCGGCGTCGGGCGCGGAAGAGGAGGCGGCGAGGAAGGCCGCCGAGGTCGAAGGGCGACCGAGCGACAGCCGCACCGTCGTCCAAGCTGGCGGCGACGAGCCGCCCATCGACGTGCTGGCAAAGAAGAAGGTGGCCTTCCCCAGCGTCGTGGCGATCACGGCCGCCGCCGCGCTGTAGCCCGCTCCCGAGAGGCCGTCTCGAGGCGAGGCGATGGCGTTCAGCTCGCTTTGCCCGGACAGCTTGCGACTTGAGGTCTGGTCGGCCCGCGTTGCCCGGCTCGCCTTTTGTAGTCGCCCTAGATGACCTTGCCCGACGGTGCGACCATGCTGTAACGACCGACCAGGACCTACAACGACGATGCCTTTGACGTCCCCGCTCTTGCCGCGGTCGTGACTTTACGGCCCGCTCTTGACTGTGCTTGAGGGCGAGGGGGGATCGACGGGCGATGCCTGGCTGGCCGGCCATGCGAAGGAGATCTTGAGCCCGCCGCATCTACGACCTCAGACGAGGACCGACCAGGCCGCGATCTTGCGGGACATATCGCCGGCCTCCTCGCGGTGATACCTCACGTCGACCTCGAAGAGCTGCCGCCGAGGGGCTGGGGCGTTGGTCTGCGAGCCTGCCGCCGGGCGCTCGGCATGGCGATCGAGGACCAGTGCGAGAAAGAGGCAGGCCTCGGGGCGCATCCGCGAGAACGGCTCACGGTCGGCGTCGAGCGGGATGGTTTCGCTCGGGGTTGTCGTCACGGTCGTGGCGGTGGCGTGGGCGGTGGCTTCTGCAGCGCTGGGGGCGATGACGGTGGCGGGACAGCTTGTCGCAGCGGGCAAGGCCAGGCGGTACCAGCGAGGCAGCATCTCGTCGGTCCTGACAGGAGGTGGGGGAGGGGGTTCCACGGCAATGGGGTAGATGTAGAGTCGTAGACTGGCGTCAGCGTCTCGTTCGATTGTCGTGGGTGAGATAGGGATGGAGAGACCCGATGCCGTGCGCCAGTACTCACGCTATGATGCTGCTGGCCAACGAGGCAGGGACACGATCGAGGAAGACAAAGATCCTGATCCTCTCGCCTTGATCGACGCTGATGTCGACGGTGCCGCAAAGATCGAGGGCTGATCCGTCGCCGCTGATGCTGCTGCTGCAGCTGCTGCTCGAAGCCGCATCGATGGTGGGCTGGTCGAGGCCGCACTCCTCGCGCAGCTCGCGCACGGCCGCGTTGCGTATCGTGCCGAGCGCATCATCGGCCCGGTCGAGGGCGGGCTCGACTTTGCCGCCGAACCCGTTCGAGCCGCCGGCACCGAAGCCGCGGAGCTTGTGGCCGAGAAGCAGATCGACGGCGCCGGCCCGGCGGCTGCCCAGATGGGGCTGGTGGTGGGCGGCGGGGTCAATGGGTCCGTGCGATGGTGCCGAGGCCGTCGTGGTGACGGGGAAGACGAGCGTGTAGACCTTGCGGCCGTCGCCGAGTCGAGCATGACCGGCTGCATCGGCGTGGATCTCGCAGCCAGTCGAGACCGTGGGCTTTGCGTCGTCGTGGACCGTGATGCCGAGATCGTCTCGGTCGGACTCGGGTCGAAAGGCCCAGTCGAAGGGCGGTAGGCGGGTGCCAGTGTATCGCCGTCGCATCACCGGCGCTCGAGACGAGGGACAGATCTGGTCCGATGAGCAAGGCTTGGATCTGAGTCGTGCGTGAGCCAGTCTGCCGTCGTGTCGTGTATGCGCAAAGCGGGAGGCGGCGTGGGCGGTGTGGTCTGGGTGGAGGTCGGGAAGAGAGGTGGATTTTGGGCGCGTTATTCGACTTGAGGTCGCCCTAGCCCGCCTGACCTGGCCTGGCCTGGCCTAGTTAGGCGGAGCGCTCCTGGCCGTAGACATCAGTAGCCGTGTCAGTCGGCGCCGATCGAGATGACGAACCGCGCCCCTGTCTGCGCGGCGTTCGCAAGCACCGGGCTCGCTTCAGGGCGGCTCGGTCGACCTCACCTGTCGGCTGGTTCTTGGGCCCCGGGGAGGCGCAGAGTTCGAAGAGCCTCGGCTTGACCACGGCGGATCCCCGCCACCGCCGAATCCATCGAGGGGCGATCGTTCTCAAAGAAGGCTGGCAAAGGTACGAGAGCGGAAGGGGGGGGGGGGGG